GCGCCCTGCAGGGGTGGCACGGGGTCTGAAGGACCTTGCTCTGCCCTCATCCACGCCCCCACTGAGGTCTCCTAGAAGCCATTTTTCTTTTCTTTTTTAATTACTATTTTTTAATGCATCTGGTTGTTGCACGGTCTCAGTAAGCAGCTCAGAATAAAGGTGATCCTCCTGCTTTCGCCTCCTCAGTGCCGCAGGATTACAGGAGTGCACCACCAAGCCCAGACTTGGGGGCCATTTCCGCCCGCCCCGGGGCGGGACTACCGCGCAGAGCAGTGTGCGCCACGTGGTGCAAGGATCCAACTGCCGGCACTGCGCTTCCCTAAGCTTGCCAGCCTTTTTTATCTCGACACCGAGTGGCTGCGTGCACCCACTCCAGCTAAGTGACTTCTGGAGGACTGTGTTGTCCTGGTCCAGCAGTGTGGGGAAGAGGCCGCATCCAGACAGGACCGGCTCGGCGGTAAGTGAGAAGTCTCCCAGCGCAGAGCGAGACCCGCCTGTCCCAATCCCTACCTTACCCAGCCTTCAATTCCTCACCCCAAGAGAACTCAACCCTGCCACCCCGTGGCATCCAATTCCGCATCTGGCAGGTGACATCAGGACCCCAGGGTCCAGGGTCGACTCCAGGACAGATAACCTCCTCTCCTTGGCCCCAACCTTCTTTAGCCCAAACGACCCCAATCATGTCCTGTGGACCCCACACACACTCGTCCGGAGACTGAACTTCCCTCAATGTGAGGATCGCCAAGCATCTCCATAAGAGGAGCTCAAGTCCCTCAGCCCAGTTACCCCAAATGCTCCCCAAGACGAACCCCAAATCTGTGAGCAGCAGCGCCTGGCTCTCCAGGTCCCTCACCCAGACAAACTGCAATTCTGGCAGCACATTCACCCCAAATATCTCCCACCCAAAATGTCCAGCACCCTCAACCTGGGGATCCCCAAATACCCTGCACATGAAGAGCCCAGTCCTGAAGGGGCCTACACTTCGCCCCATCCGGAAACCACATGCCTTCCGCTGAGGGAGCCCAAGGTCCTACTGAGGAGCCCCAGACTCAGCCCGTGTCCCCATTTTTGGGCCCCCAGAGCAACCCATGTCAGGCCAGGGACCCCGATTCCATCAGCACAGGGATCCCACACCCCAACCTGTGAATCCGGAGATCCTTGGCATTGGATACAGCCTCAGCCACAGCGCACCTCCCCCATATCGTGATCCGGAAACCCATTTGACCCTGACTGCAGGCGCCCAAGCCTGCACACTGCACCCCAACTCAGGGTTCCCAGGCAGAGACCCCAGATCAGAAACTTTCAGGACCTCAGAACACCCCTACTTTTCAGTGGGGTTAGAACCATTATGGAGAGGAGTGTCAGGGCTAGGGCTGGGGTTGCGGTTACCGTTGAAGTAAGGGTTAGTTTAGGTCAGTGCTGGGGTGCAGTTTGCAGTTGGGGTAGAGTTTGAGTTAGGATTGGATGAAGTCTAGGGGAGCTGGGATTGGGATTGTGTTCAGCTTTGGGAAAGACTTTAGATTAGTTTGTGGTAAGGTTTAGGGTTGGGGCAAGAATGAAGGTTGAGGTTCTGTTTGGCTTGGGGATCAGATTATGTTAGAAGTATGGAGAGGGTTAAGGTTGGGGTTAGATGAGACCTAGTACATACGGTTGTGCTGAGTTCTAGGTTTAGTTTAGGTTAGGTTTTAGGCAAGGGCTAAGATAGTTTTGGGGTTAGCATAGGTATGGTTAAGGTTAGAGGCCAGGTCAGGCTTAGTGCTTTTTCAGGCCAAGGCCTAACTTT